ACTTAGCCCCACTAAAGCTCAGTGGTTAGAAAGTGCTCTTGGGAAGTGGAAGAAGGAGGGGTAAGTTCCATCATGTGAGGAATTGCTCTCACATGAGAAGCTGACCTATGACTATTGAAAGCAACAGTTCTGCTAACCCAGGCTTTAATCTTTGTTACTTTTCTCACAAACATGCAACTGTAAAATGTTCCATTTTATATCAGTAAGCCATCCGATCTGATATGAAATATAACCTCTGTGCTTTCATTTTACAAAGAAAGGAAACAAATATTTCATTTTAGTGTGACCAGACCATGATATTCACTTATTTATTGGTATGACTGCCACATTAAAAAATCAAATTTGTTCCCAATGCCCATGATGGATTGACTCCTAAGTTTTTGGATCACCAGGTTGTTAAATTAGAAATCAGACAAAAAGAAATAGGACTGATCTAGGAATAAAATTAATTCAGAGGACTTCTCAGATTTTGAATTAAGAAATAAAAATTCTGAAAAAAAAAAAAAAACCTGGGAGAGGATTTTCTTCCTTAACTTTGCTACCAGACAACCAGTGGAAATTTTAGTAGGAGCAGGCTCAAGTCTGAGTGGAGAGCTCCTTAAAAATCCCCTGTCTCCTTGCATACTACAGCCTGGTTGGCAAAAGCAGTTCAAGTTCATAATCTTTTTTCATGAAATTCAAATTTAGTTTTAAAAAAATTAGAAATAAATGAGTTCTCTGACTGAACTAGGAGACTTCACTATATAGGAAGGAATAAAGATGCTTTATTTATATCTTGTATATGTCTGTGATGTATTTTTAATGAACAGTTTTCTTTTTTCTCTTTCTAAGGCCAGATCTTAAAAAAAGGCTTAATTCCCTCCATCCCATTAAAAAACAGCTCCATGTTTTCCTTCAAAAATGCATGAGAATTTAACTTTCATTCATAATTTTGTTTTTGCATTTGATTTTGGCCAAGACAAAATATATTCACTTATAGTGCAAATACTGAGCAAGCCTTCCCTCTCTACAAATCATGCAAACAACTAGATACCTGCTTTTCCGTAAGGATGACACGGCCAAGGAGCTGGTCTTCCAGCCCTTTCATAGTAACCGTAAAGTCAATCACTGTTGTTCTTGCACTGATTTCTGGAGTATAGGCAGGATTAGCCAATTTTGTTGTCATATAAAGGGTAAACCCCTTCATCAGATCCACCTCCTTGTCACCAACTTTCACCTGAAAATAAAATGTATTATTTATTTTTCTAAAGCTGCATGCAAAAACATCAGTATTTATTTCCAGTGAAAAACAGATAAATCCTTTCTTTTTACTCTTTCTTTTACACTTTTTAAACTTTCTGCCTAAAGGGTAATAAATAAATAAATAAATAAATAAATGGGGAAAAAAGGAAAATTCATGAGTTTACTACTCATCTTTCTAAGTGTTTCAAAGGTGTAAATCTCTGCAGCATGCACACTATCTGCTCACACCACATCTGTCCTACTGTCTTTCTACTTTCATGTTCACAATTCATCTTACTTTGTGCGCTGAACCAGATTTTATGAAATTTTTTTCCAAAATGTTATCTAGAGCAGGATCAAGTTCCTCTCCAACATCTTCTATTAACAAAGGTCGGCCAAGGGACAGGCATTCTTCTATGTGAGTTCTGAAGAGCTTGTGGTTCATAGCTGTAACCTGGGAAGATTTGTTCACACGTATTTGCAGCACATACTTGCATCACACAGAAAACAGTATAAAATCTATTGCAGCTTTCAAAAATTATACTCATCCTGGGATATCTACACAAATTATTACATTTTAGGGGCCAAAACCTGCCTATGCTAAAACTAATGCCTTAAGAATAAGAATTACTTAAAAATTTAATGACTGCTTTTAACGTTTTGCCTTAAGTTCAATAGAAAAGGGGATCTCACACTTTGTTTTTCTTCAGTTATCTATTCATCTACCTACTTAGCTATCTGGCTATCTAATCTTAATACCTCTTCAGTATTAATGGCTTTATGCCACTAATTAAGAGGTAAGGAAATATTTATAGGGTTCAGTGAGGGAATCAATCTTACACAGGAAGCCTTGTCCCATATCAGTTATTGAATTTCCACTTCAGTTTCCATTTCCACGATCAAATCTTAAACTTGCTAAATATCACATTGACTGCTTTTCATTTATTTAGATATTTAGTGTATTTACTATAAGCCTTTGAGATGAAAATTGAATCACCTTCCCAGAAGCCTGTTTTGGGGCCATTTCTTACCAGAAAAAGATAGGATAGACATGTTTTAAAATAAAGAAAGTCCTTGTCTTGCAATCACCACTTTGAAAAATGTATAATTAAGATATCTAGAAGCTTATGACACAGTCTTAAAGGAGTATATTATTTAAAAATTAGTATTACGGTCCAGCACTCCACACTTTTAGCTTTATTAAAACTTAGGCATATCTGTATCCACTAAAATATTATAATGCCTGCATTTCTAGTCCAAATGAAACAGATGGAGGAAGTTAGTGTTCCATTGATCCATAAGATCACCAGACAAGACCATCGCAAATGAAAATATACCAGGTGCAAAGTCATAATTTAAACACTTGGGTATTTAGAATCTTGACATAACCCTGTTCCTCCTTGGTTTTACAGAGGAAGAACTCAGATTTTTTTTAACTCAACTGACATCTGAGCCAGGATATCTGAAAGTCCACAGTTGTCTCAGTTTTCATCAAGAAAGTTTTCCTGTGTACCTACAGGTTGCATCGGTATTCAAAGCTGCGTAAGTGCTGAGAGTACTGAGCAGCTCAGTAGTTAAGCCACATCAAGATTTACAAATGTCATAGGCTGTATATTCACACACATTGACCACAAGGTAAACCTAGTAGACATTTTTCTCTGGCTCATCAGTCAAATGTGGTAACCTATAATGTATAAATAGTGGGGAAAAAGGAAATGGTATTTGAATATACATCTCCTAGTCCCCACTTTGGTGAGTATGCAATATAAAATTCTTAAATAATTACTGGATCAAAGAATGGAAGCCCTGTGTTCACTGTTCCTTCCAATAGTATGTGATCAGGTAAGAGAATAAAGCAGCCACGTGGAAAGCAGGCAATACACGTGCAGTTCCATGCAGGGGAGGGAACTGAAGCTGGAGCTTGGAGAATACTTTACCTTGTAAAGTATTGGAGAAAAGGCTATACAATGTGGCAGAAAGAGTCAGCATAGGTCCTTAACTGAAGGAGATTTACTGTTGTCACTCCAGAACTGAGCTTGGCACCTCTCTGAAATCCTAGGTAGGAGATGCAAGTCTCAGGAAGGGTGAGATATAAGATATATCCTTCTATTTGTTGTTTTCTGTTAGTTTATCATACTAGCTTTTCTTGATCCAATTTTTGGGGGCCAAAATAAGGTTTGATGTAATTTAGAGGAAACCGTGTTATCTACTCTAAGAGAGTAGATTTCATACAGTCACAGAATACCTCACTTCTCCTGTGATGATAATTCATTTGTTTTAAGACTTTTTATTCGTATTTTTAATAAATACATTCTTTTTTTTCTTGAAAGATCTTTGAATATCTTCTTATATTTTTCTCTTTCTTCTCAATTAATACTTCCCACTGCTAGTTGTGTTTCTATACCATTTTGTGGCCATGCACCACAAAATCCAGAAACTTGATTTGATGTGGGATTGAATGCTGGACCTTCCTTATGGGAGCTAGGAAATAAATATAGGGACAGGTCAAGCTCCAGAAGGTCAAGGATTTACTTAACATCTCCATGATGTCATCACCTCTCAGGATGACACCATCCTTAGCTTTTTCATTTTCTTTTCTTATCCATACTCCCACTTTGAGTGGTATTCATGTGATAATCTAAAGTTGTAAAATAGATCTCAGTCATTAACAACTCTTTGATGTCATAATTAATCCAGCCTGAAAATATATCAAGTGCCTAGATCTTCATTATAACCCATCTTAGCCTTATTAGTGTAAAGCAGCATGGAGTGTAGGCTGAATAGGAGGGAAAAAAAATAATTTTGAATAAAATACAAGTTCCAGATCCCAAACAGCATGCACTGCTAGATGAAAAGTGGGAAGGGTAGATAAAGTAAACAATAAATATATTCATCACATGCCCTTGATCATGAAGATGTGTACTATATTTGCACTGTGTTTGATATGCCTCAAAGATGGCTAGATTTCCCATGTAGCATCAACTGCCTGATACCGTCTGGTCTTAGTTTTGCAAGTCATTTTACTTTTCTCTGCTAGTAATTATCTCTTTGTCTATAGCAAACAATTTAAAAATTCATCTTAAAAATACATATGCCATAATACATAATCCCATTTTGCTCCTGAAACTCTCTCTGAGAGAAAACAAAGTCATACAAGTTACTTTACCCTGATATATATAGGTTACAGATTTGGCTCAGTCTGTTTTGAATTTCTGTGAGCCCAACAGTATACCATGAACATCAGATTCAAATTACCTTTAACACATGGCCAAAGTATGGTGACAGGAAAATAGTTTGCACTGCTAACTGTGATCTGACATCACACATACACACGTGCACACACCACACACACACACACACACAAAATTTAAGTGAATAATTTACCTGGAGTTCATTATTCTTTTCCTTATTTTTAATCCAGATCTTTCCTTGACCTTGTGGATCAATCAATAAAGGATATCTAGATGCTTTTGTGACAATGATGCCGTTCTGAATTGAAAGGTCATCACTTGGAAGACCCTGGAGGTTCCATTCGCCAATTGTAGCATTGTCAACAAGCATACCAGTAAGGTTCAGATCCTAATACAAAAAATTAAATTACAAAATTAGTACCAGTTACAAGGGTTAGAAGGAAGTTTCTCTTCCTATTCTGATCATGAGTAGTAGAACATACTTGGTAGTAATTGTTTATCTTTCCTTTCTTTACAGTCCATTGCCTAAATCCTGAAAGTAGAGCAACAATGAAAGTGACTCCTGTTCAAGCTTTGAGCTTCCATTGACTCTAACTAACATAAATGGCACCAAAGAAAAACAGCAGAAGTGTCAGACAAACACTGGAGCCAGCTGCATATCTAATAACAAGCTGATTTTGGTATTGGTAAACTCTTTTCTTCTTACTAGCTCAAGAGGAGGGCTTCTCTTGTTCAGAAGCACTTCCTCTTGCTGTAAAGTTGTATGTCTTAGAGTGCTCTCCAAGTGTGTGTATCAGTATAGGATGCCTTGTGGGAAAAGATGGCTCATACTCTAAGAAAGATTGGTTCATTCCTATGAACCAATAATCATGGACTATCATGGAAATGTATTATTTCTCTGGTCAGAGCTCTCCCCAGCTCATATACTCTCGCATAGCTTGATTTGTACAGATTGACTAATATGCTTTATTTTATTCACTATGAACAATGACTGTCCTCTCAAGAATGTGTATATGAGGAAAATAGTGATTAAAATCACAATTAAACTCTCCAAAATGAGAAAAGTAGCTTAATAATAATGTGATTTTTAAAAAGTAATAAAACTTAGGAGTTTTTTTAATTTGTCTCACATTTTTCACCTCTAAAATTCCTATTTTTAAGCTTTTTCTATATACACATGTCAAAAAAGAAAGAAAAAGCCTGAGAATATTAGAAAAAATCACATAATTCAGCATCTGGATCCTGAGGCAAAATTTCAAATACTAAGAGACTTGTGATAAAATCATGAGAGTTAGTGATACCACTGCCTGCAAGGCTCAAAAGCTTTTTTCCCCTTTTTGATTTTCTCTACTCCAATTATTGAAGAATCTGAATAAAGCAACACAAAGCACTCTCATAAGACAGAGAAATTTTAATAATCAAATTTCCAGTTATGAAAAGGGAAGCAAAAAATTTAAAAAGCTAATATTTTCAGTAATAGGAACCAAAACCCATGTTTAGTTCCTTAAGTAGACAATTTGCTATTTGTAGAATCCAGCTTTGGAAAAAGCTATAACTTTTTTTTTACTGCAGTAGAAAGTTTCAGTCACTCTATTTAAGTGCCTAACTGCAGAGCTAGATGACTAATTTTAAACAGCTCTCTCTGAAATATTACACCTAAATGACTCATACACCCATACCCAGTTCGTCTGTGACAAAGTAAGGCAGATGTCAAGCCTTTTTGCTTAAACTATAAAGCTGCTTTCTCTCCTGTGGTGTGAAGTATCAAGAGCTACCCATCTGCTGCCTTTTGTAAGTACTCAATTCACTGAAAAAAGCCTAAAACTCTCTTCCATACACTCTCATTGGAATCATTGTCCTGTCTTTAAGGGCAACTGTCTAAATACAATGGTAATTATCCTTTGAAACTCAAGTTAATGGTGACATTCTGTGTCCAGCCTGTACATATGAAAAAACAAATAAATTAGCAACACAGAAGCAATCACAAAGTACTCCTCAATTTTTGAAGGACACAGCTAAGTAGCAATGTGGTCAGACTATCCTCAGAGAGGCACACTGTAGCTTCTTATTCTGTGTTCCCTAAGGATATTATACATCCAAGTTCTCATCCATAAATGGTAAGAATCTTGACAGATGTTCCTCAAGGTAGTAGCTGATAAGAACACTCTGCACACTGAGTTTCTGAAAGAGCCTCCCTGGGATGAATGAATATAGAAAAACTCCCATACTACACTAGTAAAGAATCTTAGCTGAGATTGCAGTGATATTGGTACATTGTTAATAAATTAATCTAGTACTTATTAGCAGAGGACCTCAAAATGCTTTGCAAGGGAAGACAGAATCATTCATCTTCACAAGTCACAGCATAAATTGGGCTGGGCTGTGAGGTTCATTCACTCTGTCAAGTGAAGGTCAATCACTACTAACAGACACATTATCCACCATATAACCAACTAACAGAAAACTATTCTTAAGTAAGATCTATGAGATGAACAGTGAGACAAACCTCTCATGGCAAAGAGGACTCCCTAATATAGGGAGCCCCCCAAGAATCTAACAAGAAGATGCAAGAGGGATGCTAATCTACCTTAAACTGTTTCACAAAGATACAGCCAGAGGTGTAGACAGGCTGCTCACTTGTTCCCAGCACTTCCCAGCAGCAACTGCTCTTTCAAGAGCTTTGACAGCTGAGGACAGGAGCTATTTGGGCTTAATGTCTCCTCTCAGTACCAGAGTGTAAAAGAGATTCATTGGGCTATTTTTCTAACCTTTACTGTTGGAGAAAATGTATGCTGGTATTCAGAGAATCAAGTGAAAGGAGACAGGGATAGATTAGTCAGAAGAAACATTTTGATTTTTATGGCCTAAATACTGTCTTCAGCATGAATATATCTTCCAAGGTGGAAGGACAACAGTGGAGAGACCTCCTAAAGGTCATGGAATTGGAACAAGGCTGCTGTTGGGCCGTGAGCAAAGCCTGCACATGAGAATATCTGTCATGTCCTACATTACTGTGATAGATAGTAGGAAGAGGAAAGAGGAAGATTCATGTAAGGTAACCTGCACTGTATCATAGTCCCAACATGGAAGTTGCTCACTTCAATAAAAAGTAGTACATGATGTGGTAGGGAACTGAGATCACAGTAGCTCAGCTGCATTTCAGGCCTCCTCTGCTTGCTATTAGGGTATTTGAGAAGCAGCTGTGATGTGAGATGCACTGAGAACAGCCTTATTGGTGAAAAATCTACCCGGATTTAAGTTTTTCAACTAGAGCAAGCTGAATTATGTAAATCACATTTTAAAAAATCCAGGTTTGACTTAACTTAATCATTTCAACAAGATACTTAAACTAAACTAAATTAAATGGTGTGGGTACACAAGCAGAGTGTATGAGAGGAGGGTATAAATAATGTTTTAACTTCTGATATATATGAGTGCAGAGGTGATATTTCCTGATTAAAAATATAAAATGGTATTTCAATAATTGGGTGTAAGTGTTTTTTTTTATGTCAATTGAGAATTAATCAAGCTACACTAAGATTAAAAATGAAGTGTGAAGCCTGAAGAATTAAAAATTGTTTGGCTCCATTTTGCAGACATTTTCTAGCAAATATGGATTATTCAAATGTTGTACTTAAGTAATCCTAAATGAAAACCATAGAATTTTTTACTCTTGGACTACCCTGTGTTTTTTTCACAATTTAATATTAAGAATAGTAGGTTAAAGAATTTATGATGCAATCTGTCAGAACTCTGAAATAGATGAAAAAAGCTTTAATGCAAATTTTTCCTTTATGTTCTACATTTATAGTTCAGAGTGAAAAGTGCATATCCACAGAGAGAGTAGATTTCTAATGGTAGCCCATGAGACTATACGTAAGAATGGAAATAGGGTAAATTTTGCTTGGCCCCTGGAAATGGCTGGGGAACACCACCACAGACCAGTCCTTCCCCTCTGCACCACCCCTTGGGCCTATCTTGAGAGCTGCTGCCTCAAAGACTGTCTGGAAAGTGGTCTAGTGGTAGAGCAAAACCAGCTGTGGGTTGAGATTCTCAAACATATATTTACAAGTTACCTGTATAAGAGGACAACAAAATGTTGAGGGAGACCATTATAGTTGGCTTCAATAAACATATTTTCTACTTTCACTAAGTACTAGATGTACCTGATTTGCTTGACTTTATTACTGAAATTATAGGCACAACATGATATTTGTGCAATATACCAACTCTTGGGGAAAAATGAGACCACCTGATGGATATCCTTATGTTAAGATAAATCTACTTTAATCTGGTAAATTTTACCTCATTTCCCATATAATGCAATTTCCTCCCAGGATATCTGACCTCAGGCAGTATCTCTGTCTCAGATTTGCCAGGTTCTTGGCCTAGGCATTAGTCTTGTGATGCACTGAAGTGTAAAGCAAATTTTAAAACATTATTTTTATAAGCTCCGTTGTTACCTGTCTTATTTTCTATTTAATAAAAAACTGATGGAACATGACAGCCTATACATAATCTTCCAGTGAAGTATTTTTCTGGAATTAAATGCTCTTAACATTATTTCTCTGCAAGGAAAAGAGTAAGGTTAGGATAGTGCAGAAACACTTACATTACTATACGGAATCTTGCTGTTGTTCATTTCTTTCTTCCACAATTGGAGCAGCAAGTTCCTGTACTCCTGATTAAAAGGTCCAGAGTAAGAGAGAAATCCAGTGGCCAGAAGAACATTCCCCACTAAACAAATAATTTGATTTTGAAAGTTCTTGCTGCTTGCTGTCCAACGAAGCTGTATGTAAAATATTAATAAGAGGTTGTATTAAACAGACATGAAACTAACATGAAGATCAAATCTATGTATTTTTTTTCCCCTTTCTAGTAAATAATTGCTCTTCGAACTAGGAGTATTTTTGGCTTTAAATCATTCCTTTCAGAAGTACAACAAGTTTTCTGAATATTATTTCTTCCTTTTTCTACAGATTCTTATTCCCTTCCAGTCAGTCTGCATGCAACCTTGGTCAGGACCTATACGCTTTAAATTGATGAAATACACGTTTAACACAGCACCAGTTTTGTCCAAGGCTCCAAATATAGGCTCTTATTGTTTTGTCTGAATTTTCAAAAGAAGAATGGACTCATAGCTCTTAAAAGACCTTACCACACAAGGCTTCAGAAAACCTATATTAAGGCACTGTAACTCCTAATTTTGTGTTACTCTTTAAAATTATAAATTCATAAGAAAAATATGCCAAAGCAACATAGGAAAAGGAATAGGAAGGAAAACTTCAAGCTTAGTGCAGAGGATAATGATTAGCCCATAATTCTATCAAAGGTTCCAGTAGCAATCTGAATTTAAATTATAATTCAGAAAGTTAGTCAAGCTTCAAATTCCTATTCTTGTATCATTGCTGAGAAGAATACAGTAATCCTACTTATGAATATTTTAGGGAAATCATTTAGGTTAAGCCTAATTCCTCTTCTTACTAAAGCTTAAAGGAATTTGGCTCCTTGGCTTTAAATTTAAACTTTATTCCAATACAAGTCATATGATATGATATAAAGTTTCACACAGAAGAGTAAGAGTAACTCAAGAAATTGTTTTACTTTGTTAGATACGCTGAGTTCAAGTGAAAACACACATACAACTAAAGTAGAGTGACCTACAATACCGAGATGTCACTTTGCCTTGAATTTCTCAAGGACTAGATCGTTATGATTACTATGGAGCATTCTCAAAATTCAGCACCTACTTTGTGCTGGAATCCTACTCATATGTGCTAGTACCTTTTCTTCACCTAATCCTTCAATCAGAGCTGTGGCATTGTTCATCTTCCTTCTGCATGCCTCAGCATCATCTAGTAAGGCCTGCTTCTCTTTCATAGCAGTATCATACATGGCTTGTACTTGATCCAGTTCCATCTGTTTCTCATCCAGCTGATTTTGTGCATTATTCAGTTCAGTTCGGGCAGCCGCAAGCCTTGCTTCTTGCAAGGCTAGATTTGCCTACAAACATTTTAAAGTAAAGAGTGGTTAATACCTATTATTTGGCAAGTGCAAATGACATTGCTTTAAAGGCACAGATCCTAAAATAATAGCAGTTTTTGCTTTATTTACTTTTCAATCCAAAGCTGGAACACAAGCATAACTTTAACATTATTCATTGCAATCTTTAAATGTTTTCAAAAAATATTTTCAAAATGATCCAATAATCATGCAAGAAATGAATAATACACTTGAAATAGCTGTATACTAGAGCTACAAGGTAATCCATACAATGTTATCTGTAATCTCCTCTCAGTGCAAAAGAAAATTAAGACTACGCCTCACAGATTATAAAATGATGATAATGGAAACTACTCTTCTCCTCTCTTTTCCCATCAATTACTTCTACAACACATAACAAAATACAGAGCAAAAACAAACATACACACATACTTGCATTTTTTGCTTACTTGTATACTTGCATACAATATACTTGCATCTTTTGCTCCTCTGGAAGCTAAAACTCTACAGACATTTCTCAACTCTCTGTATAAATTTGAATGCTATTGAGATCTAGGCATGATAAAAAAAAATGTATCATGAAGTCTGGTGAATTCCAAGGGAACAAGTCTGTCAGCAAGGGAGTTGGAGTATCGGCACTAATCAACAATGCAGCACTGCTCTAGGAGTTCAGTTTCCTGAGAATAGCCCTGTCAGCAAAAAAAAATTCAATTACTGTAGCCACTGTGTCTGCTGACAGGCCCTAGATACAGACAAATACATTATAATGGAAACAGATAGCATAATGGCCACTCATAAAATTTCCATTATATAAGGACGCTGAAATATTTTTATTTGGCTACTTATCAAAGAGTACATTAAACAGTATCTCCTAGAGATAAACACTGTTAAATCAGCACACTAGTCAGCCTTGTTAGGACATGGCCAAGCAGATTACAGAACCACTGGTGTTATTTTTTTGTGAATCTTGGACTACCAGGAAAAGTTTAAATGCTGTAAGCGTTCAAAGTAGGTTATTTAATCATTCTTTTTATCCTTAAACTCTGTGAGGGCTAAAAATAGGAGCTTAAGGCAAAGTTATGACAGATTGTTTGATTGACAGGTGACAAATAGTGAGGTAACAGAGAAAAAGATCTTTGTAGAGTTGGGAAGAACAGCCTAGGTAAAACAGCCAGAACAAGAAGAAACTTGCAGCTGGCTGTTTGGACTCATATTTCACCTTAACGTTTACCACAGCCATACATGAACCTCAAGGGAAAACACTGGCCATGAGAATTCCCAATACATATGAGCAGAGTATGTGAATACATATTCACACTGTGAATATGAAAAAAACCCAGACCTCCCTGTAGCAATAAACTACTCAGAAAGGTGCAAAATACTGATAAAATGGACTTCCTAGCCCCTAAAAGGCTACCAGCTTTGAAGATGTGGGCATAATGAAAAAATATTTCAGACAAGAGTACAAGATAAAAATATATTGTATTCTAACATGAAAAATATCCAAATTAGTTACTCAAGATTTTAGATCCATCTTTAGAAGATGCCTGAGATAAGAAATGATTTGATGGATAATTTAACCAAAGTTTTTAAGCCAATTTGAAGGTAATCTTAACAAAGGTAGTAATACATTTTGGTATTAGTTTGATTTGGAGGTTGGTTAATCATATGTGATGTGCAATGGTTGTTTGCACAAGAATGAGCATTAACATACCAAGCTGACCAATATATGTGATTCTCCAAGGCAGAGAGATTACTTGTTTTAGATTACCCTATGAAATTATCACTATTTGCTCTCTTCCTGTCTTTTTTTCCCAACTCCCTTTTTTCAAAATTACATGGCTACATACTGCTTTTGTATTGATATCACTAGCAGGTTGGCTGACAGCTTTCTGCTCAGAGTTTTGCCATGAGAGCAGGAGGCAAGTTTTGCTGCCAAGGATAACCTTCTGCATAAGAAAGCTCTTACTGTTGCAAGAAGCTTCTTACAAAGATTTCCAGCCAATTATAGGAGAGAAGGAAATGTGTTTCCCAATTACAAAGAACCACTATGGCCTTTCTAATTTTAGTGACACTGCTATGCAAACAAGCTTCACACCCTTCATTTCATCCCTCTGAGTCACACAGCAAAGAAATGATTCAAAATTTGTTCCAGTTGAATGCAATGGAAGTGCCTGAATAAATAGACTTTATGTAAATTAATCATGAGGATTCAAGACATGAAATCCACATTCTTATCTGAGCTCCCAGTTAGGGGGGCTATATTTGAATATGCCTTGGCTTGCATCAGAGGAGCAGCTTCAGCCATTCTTTGCCTCTTGCTTCGTATGAATCCACATAGACAATCCTCTCTGTGTCTGCTCCAGCCAGTTCCTCTACCTGCTCTCTGCATCCATCTGCACTGGTCGAGTATGGAGATGGTCCATGTGCCCACAAGAGGCACAGATAAAATAGTTAGCTAGTTATTTTGCCTTCTTCTGAGGTGCACTTGGAGAAGGCTTCATAGTAGGTAGTGAGATGATCTTGTACCTTTTAACCTTTTTGCATTCCACATGAAAACAGGAAAAATATGCAGTGTTACTGGCTCCAGCTACATTATTAAATTGAGCATGCCCAGGACCTTTCTTTAGCACTGAGGTTTACTGGCATAAAACATTAAACTCTCTTAGCCTCTAAAACAGCATGGTTCCTTGCAAACAGCTGGTCCTTGTACCATGTAGGTTCCTAACACTTGTCCACAGATTCCTGAGAAAGCGCTGCTTGGCCAAGACCAAATTCATACTACAGACCACTCTAACAATATAACAGTGTAGGTGATCACTTTGCACTGGCTAGGAAAATTTCCTAGCAGTGTTTAATTTATCAGTAGTGACATAGTCATAAGTTCCTCATTGATTCATTGCAAGCTTAGTGTTCTGCAGAGTATATCTGGCCCTGATCCAAGAAGGCATTTAAATATATTTTTCTCTTTAAAAAAAAGCTTCACATTCTTAAATGCTGTCCTCGTTTATGGACAGAATCCTAGCACTTCACAGGATCAACCTCAAATCTTGAAAAGAGCAGTTCTTGCTCAATTAATTCATAAAAAGCTACTAGAAATAGGAGAAGCCATATGAAAAAGGCAGCTGGATCACCACAGGTATGGAAGAATTAAGCTTTCCCAGCGCCTTTTTTGTTTCAGTAGTCTTAGCTTTCCAAGTTCACTGGTTCTTACAGTCCGTGTTGATGCTGACCAAGTCACCAGACCTCTTGTAGTCAGACTGCACACATTGTATCATTCTGCTCTTGAGCCTTGGTGGATGTACTGGGTGATCAACTTTGCTTTTTTCTTCAGTCCTTTCCTGGGCACATGGTGTCTGACTGCTGTCTCCTCACAGAAACGTGATCTCATGCTGCTCACTGACCTAGACCACTGCTGATCTTTCACATAAAAAAGATCTTTCTTATTGCTCCCTAAGGGTTTTAGTTCAGTACGGAAACCAGCAAGAGCAGAAAAGGCAAAAAAGACCTGCACTTAAGACAGTGTTTGACAAAGAGAATACTCAATATCAAATAGAATTCATAAGCTGTATATTAACTTATTCCCTTAATCATCATTCCAGCTTAAGGAGAACTTAATCCAAATCACTGGAGATCTCTCTTAGGGAAATTATACACTTACATATACTATTTAATCGGAGACTAACCAGTTATTCTCTGATTCTTTTGTTATATTCTTCAACTACTTGATAAACTACTTCAACTACTGGATAAATGGTGTGTCAGAATTATCAGGTAAGTCCACAGGCCTGTTGATGACAAGCTAGAGAGGAACAACTACACTGCCTTGTTGGCAACATTTGGTGACACTTTCTGTGTTATATAACTGTATGGTTCTAGCTGATGACCCTTAGGCTGCAGGCTATTTCTAAAGAATGTATATTCTATTCCTAGGGATAAATTAATTTTTGCACACTATGTTTACTAAGATACGAGGCATTAGTCTATTAATTAGTTTTCACAGGTTGTCACGTTCAAGATTAACAAGACACTGAGTCTCAGATAAGATGCAATTTAAGCATAGATTGCAAGGTTTTTCCAGGTGTTGAAGAGAGTTTGTCTCCCTGAATAGAGGTTAAGATAAAGCAGTTCTATTAAATCATTCAGTCCACCTGCTTTTCAGCACAGGATGATTCCTTATACTAGTATCTTATGCAATCTCATTGTACAACTTATATTCAATTATTTTCTTAGCATTTCTCCACTGCTTCCTGAAATATCTCCTGCATACTTTAAATATTTCCTCCCTCTGTCATCTTCACTTTTTAGAATATTTGCAACTACTATTCCTAATAATTCTACTTTGCCAAGAAATGCATGCTTAGGTTTTCTTAGCTCCAGTGTGAGAAGAATGTAAATACTTGAATACAAAGTTAAATTTATATGTAATCTTAAATCATGTGTATACCACTGAAAACTACAAGAATATTTTTGCAGCTTTCAAAGAGTTATATCTGAGTATAAATCCACTACTTCCCCTAGGTCTTGCTCTTTTACATCTCTCAATAGCTACATTTCGAATTCTATTTCATTAGTGAATATTGCATTATTTGAAAAGGGAATTGCTATTTATGTATCACAGGAATATAGTCTTCTCTATTAATTACTTGAATCAGATTTGGTCAGATATACTGAAGAAAAAGCCAAGAGTTTTGTATGTACAATTAGTATACCTCTTATACAATAGAAGACTGAATATAAGTACAGTGTCTAAATACTAATTGATATGTATTTCTTCAAAAAAGAGCAAAAACATTATTCTACAGAAGCAATGCTTATAAAACACTGCATAAATATTCAAAGTTCTTTTTTTTTCATATGCCCATAAATGAAACATTTCCAAGATAATAAAACTATCTTTAGGAGTACAGATAATGACAGCCGATCCCTTTCTATTGTAGTTTTATGAAAATATCACTGTTCAGACAGAGATTTTCTATGCCAGGTGACTGCTTAGTTTATTACAGATAGAAACTGTGCCAATTTGACTCTTGCTTGACACTCAAAAGTTTCCTTAGAAGAGCTGAATTCCAGCTAAATTCATTAAATTCTTACTTCATTCAAAATAAAAAACAAATTTAAAAACTTCTGTGTTGAGCATAGTCTCTCCTCTTCCAGATTCTGCTGAGACCACATGGAGTATGTTCCTTCCCAGGCCAATAAGACTGAGGAGAAGTTTTCTTGAAATTAGGGTGCCTGGCACCAAGGCTGAGAGCAGAGATAGTATCAATAATTCCTGCTAGCAGATAGCCAAGCTGTGAAAAGAACCTTTGCACTAAAGGTTCTCATGGACAACTGATTGTGTGCACACATCAACAGCTGAATCACAGTGTAGCTGAGTAAGGGGAAAAAATTGCCAGGATATCTTTAACGTTTAAGTGCTTGACTTCACCACTGGGGGTAAAGAGCCAGTTTCTTGTAACAAGAATTTCATGTTGCTAAATATCTTTTTTAGACAAAATAATACTACTTTTTTCCATTCAACTTTGGTCATCCCTCAGAAAAATAAAATGAACAATAGGAAATACCTTAAGAGGAAGGACTTCTTTATTAATGCCATAGAAGTAAACCATTGCTTGTGTCCACGAGCAAAGACCTGCTACATTTCCACATACTTTTTTAGCAGTCTCCAGATTATAATCCTCCATATCCAAATATGGCTCTAAAAGCTCCACAATTTCACCTGTAATTGAGTCCTGGTTAATAAAAAAGAAAAATTATTTTCAAAATTGGATTTTAGAGTAAAGTCCACTTCATAAAAACATTTTCCTTTTTACAGACATGATGCTACCACTTCTTACAGAATATATGCATTCAATTGTTTGTACACAATTTACTGCGTTCAATATTTTTTTCTATCAGAAAGATCATTTGTTGCCCAGCAGGAAAGAAGGCTATTATTTACCTTGTCTTTGCTCCTGAACCTATGCACCCAAAAAGCATTATGTAGTTTTTGGCAACCCAAGAAATTTTGGGTTTTTACAAAGGCTGTATTGAGATGAAGTTTGCAGGGAACCTGCACCCTACAATGAACTCTCTGCAGAAGGGTGAAGGATCAGTTTTACATGCATTTATTTTAACATGCTCCCCTCAGTTTTCTCCCTTTTAAAAATTATCTTGTTTTAGCCTGTGGTCCATCCAAGTCTAGCTCTGTAGACTAGGGCCTCCTCCCTGTGTAAACTTTAAGAAAAAGGTGCAGACACATTCATCCCAAAGTGCTAGCATATTGAGCATCTTCATCCCACTCCATAATAAACATTATTTCTATTTCTGAATTATTAATCATTTTCTAGTACAGAGTACAGCAGCAACCACAGCCTTGTATTTGGTTCTGCATTTCTTTTTCTTTTGGAACAGAGCGTAATGCTACAGAATTTTGTGTACCTGTCATACATAACAGTTAGCCGTTTTTGAGAGGATTTTTGAAAGGAATTTATTGCAGAAGGACAACTGAAAAGTTCTGAAATTACATAAGTATTAATTTAAGAATAATTTGACAGTGTTATACTTTTGGTTTTCATTCACTTTCATTAACTTTTCCCTAGAATTCCCTGGACAGCTCAGAACACGGACAAAAAATGGACTGATATGTAAAATTTCACACCACACTTTTGCACTTGTAAGCAAGGAACAGTTAAAGAAAAGTAGTGAAGCCACAGGGAAGATAGAATGATGCAAAAAGCTCTGCTTGTGCACTTGAACAAAAGCTAGCTAAAATGGGACTAAGAAGTGCAGGACCCAGCAGTTAACATAGCACCATTTTCCTAATCCTAATTTCAGCTGGATCTGAAGCTATTCTGTTCCAGTTCAGACCACAAATTGTCAGTGAATTAGTTCCGTAACCCTGAACCACTTTGAAATTTTTTGTGCTGAAAAATATAACAAGCATTTCTGTGGTTAATCAGGCAAAATCCAGTGTACCTGTCTATTCCTCTGGCAGAGCCAAGGCATCACTCTCATTCGGAGGTCAGCGCTACAAGTCCTCCACAGTTCCTTATATTTGCCCGGTGGGGTTGAGAGGTTGAAGACAACTGGTGATTCACTAGATGGAGGATGGTAAACCAGGAGCTAATAGCTGTTCCCCCTCTTAATAAATCAACACTGGAGGTGTTCATAAGACAGAGATACAGAAGCGCATATGTCTCAATAGCGAAGAACAGCAGTGCAGATGGGGGGTGATGTTCAAATTACTGGATATAGCAAGCAGGTACCACTGGCAGTAATGATGCAGTTTACTAACAGAAAAGTAGCAACATACAGGCCAAATTTTGATTCAGCCACAGGTTCATTAGACACCCTGCCAGGCACTGCTCTGCATTGGTTCTAGCCAAAAAGCCAGAGAAAGAGTTAAGGCTGAAATATTACAGAATGGTTGAGGTTGGAAGGGACCTCTGGAGATCATCTAGTCCAATCCCCCCCTGTTCATGCAGGCTCACCTAGAGCACGCCCACACAGCTTTTGAATATCTCCAGGGAAGGAGACTCCACAACCTCTCTGGGCAACCTCTTCTAGTGCTCCGTCACCCTCCCAGGAAATAAATTTTTCCTCATCTTCAGACGGAACTGCCTGTGCTTCAGTTTGTGCCCATTGCCTCTTGTCCTATTGCTAGGCACCAGAGAGAAGAGTCTGGCCCCATCCTCTCGGCACCCCCCCTTCAGATATTTATACATATTGATAGGATCCTCTTTCAGTCTTCTCTTCTCCAGGCTGAACAGGCCCAGCTCTCTCAACCTTTCCTCAGATGAGACATGCTACAGTCCCCTAATCATCTTTGTAGCCCTCCACTGGACTCGCTCCAGGAGCTCCATGTCTCTGTTGTACTGAGGAGCCCAGAACAGCACAGCACTCCAAGTGTGGCCTCCCAAGGGCTGATTAAAGGGGGAGGATTACCTCCCTCAACCTGCTGGCAATGCTCTTCCTAAAGCAACCCAGGATACTATTGATCTTCTTGGCCACAAGGGCACAGTGCTGGCTCATGGTCAACTTGTTGCCCACCAGGATTCCCAGGTCCTTCTCCACATCTCCCCTTCTCACCTGCTCTCACAAATATTAGCTATGAAGGAAAGAGCAAGCTGTTTCCTTTCGCTCTTGTAAAGGACAGAACATTAGTTGTGTGTGAATTTCTTATTTACAGTCAAGCAGAAAATAGTTCCTACTTCCGTTGCAACATGTTGACTTCATTTTGCATTCAATATCCCTACTTGACCCATAGGATATACAGATACTACTCACACTTGTGGCTTCATGACAACTTAAGCTGTTCTAAATTATTGCTGCTACAGCGCTCTACCTTCTTTCCTCTCCTCCTCAACCAGATGTTCTTGTCACCTCTTTAAAGTCATCATCAATATTCAGTAAGCTGGTTTGGGAGCTAGTGTTGCAGAAACCTAAGCCAGCATATTAGTGATTGGTTTTCTTCTAGGCTAGCTCCCTAACTAGCTCACTGTAGACAAGTACCAGTGTGATCACAAAAGAGGGTGTCAAACATGCAGCTAGAGGAAGGAAAAGAGTGAGACTGCAAGGAACTGACCTCGCTTCATTGAAACTACCTCTTTTCCTGAACAGTAAAAAGGATTTATTTTAGCTATTCACTTCATTATGCTAATCTCAGATTTTTTTCTCCCTTAACTATCTTTTGAGAACACAAAAAGCCAAATCTTTGATAATGGTCACTAATCTCTAATTATATAAGTGCCAGAAGGAAATGGAATTCATCTCCTCAAGCAATGTAAAGACTGGAAGAGCTTATACAGGGTAACAATGGTTGCTTAACAATAGAGGTATTAAGAATCTTCCCTTTATTGGCAATGTATTAAGGCCTTTCTTTTAATAGAACTAAAAATCACCCTCCACTTTATAGTGTTAAGCAATATATCCTTTTTGTGGAGGTACATACCAGAAAGGGCTATCTTGTAACTGTCTGATCCCTATCTACTATAATAATAAAGACAGTAATTATATTATTCCTAAAATCAGATAAAGTGATACTTTCACTATGAACATTTGATAAAATATGAAGTAATGATAGGTAAACATTTTGATTTTTTATTCTCCTACTCAAAATTATGACTCAGCAAGCTGGCTTTGCTTCATAGCAAAGACCAATCAGCAATGGCCTAAGCCTTTGTTTAAGAACTTGAAAACTTCAGTTCATGTTTTTTCTTCTAAACAATCAATTTTAAACACAAGGAGCTACTTCATCCACTGAAATTCCTTGCCTAACAACATTAGGAAATATCAGAAATCTCACAAAAAAGTAAGTAAGTACTGTATTCTACTCAGAATTTGTGATGAACTTTCTTTGCTTATATACTTTACCCTAGAAACAAGAAATGAGACAGAACAAAAGCATGTGAAGGACTTCATCAGTGACAGAAGTACACTAGTGTTTTTCATCACATTGTCAGTATCACTTACTGCAAGAACTCCCACAGAGGTTGTTCTGACTCTTCTGAGCAAAGTTAAATGTGTTGCAAACTACTAGTAGGAACACATACAGTATTAACAGATGCCAAAACTGGAAACCTCATTAGAGATATACTTGAGTAAGGAGTGCAGAATTAGTCTCCACTACCATTAATCTCATTTCTTCTTTCTATTTAGTTAAGATAGTACTTGGAAAAGTGGCCAGATTGACAGCCCCAGGATGGAACGGTCTACAGAGGCAGTGCAAGTTTCTTCATGCTGCCTTGTCAATATGCTTCACAGGGAGAAATGGCTCCTGGGAACAGTAAAAATTATGATCTTAAGTCTCATCTACACAGCTATAACACTCCATTAGAATAGGCCATGGCAAAATGTGCAGCCGAAGCAGATTCAATTATCAGTGTAAATATGAACAGAGTATGTTCTGCAGCACTGTAGAAAACAAAGGTTTGGTGAAACCTGCTTGGTTTTCTGGATTTCAAAGCTGAGCCATGATTCTGCATCCCAGGGCCCAGAGTGACACCTCTTTTAGTCTAGCTACCTGTAACATCTCCCATCTCTTCACAGCAGAGATGGGAGTCTCCCTTGTCTGACCGTCCAGTTAATCTTGTTGCAAATGTGACAGGTTTCTGCCTTCACAGAAATAAAAGCTGTGTTTGTTTTTATTTTTCCTGCAGTTGAGACCAAGGTTCTCAGTTCATTCTCCTTCCACTACTTCTCTAGTTTATAGCAAACCTATACTCAATCATTTCGGTATATTTCCTTACAGGATGCTCAGTGCCTTCTTTATTTCCTCCTAACTTCTGATCAAGCAGTTATGGAGATAGAGTTCTGGAGCAACTTATACACAAATAGGCTTGGTAGCATTGAAGACAGTGAGCAGGATTTTGAGAGCCATTTGAAAAATCAACAGTGAGTCCTTTTAAGGCAAATCCCTACTGAGGAGCAATAACTGCCTGAATAAAAAAATAGGATTAAGCTTCTCAAGATTTGATCTAGTGCTTGCAATACTTGTGTTTGCCATCCAAACTGTGTGGCCCAGGAGAAAGAATACTGAAATAATGAACCATGAAAATGGAGAGGAATACAGTCATGTAGATACATGCAAGTATCTACAAGTACAAAAAATAAGTTCTTTTAAACTACCTGTGAATTTCAATTCCTATGGACAATACAGCACATAATATCTGAGGACACTTTCACATGCTCTGTAAAAATGGTTACAGAAGTAATAATGCCACTATTAACTGCTTACCTTCTGGAAAGTAAGCAACATGCTAAGAAATCCTGAATTATTCATTAGTTTCAGAGCCTCAGTCCACGATGGCTTCACGCATGGGTGTTCTTGGTCAGGTGTAACTGAGTCTACTTTTCTTTGGAATAAAAGTAGCACACAATCCATAATCCGCATTATTAAGTGAGGAGGTTTACCCAGTTTGCGAACAGTTGCAATGTCAGAAGGTTTTATTGTCTAAAAAATTAGAGAATAATATAATCCACTTATTTAAGCCATCACTTGATAATAGATAAAGCTCTTTTGTTTAGGGACTACATATGTACAATTGCTGCAGGCCACCCAGAAGCAGTACCGCAGAAAGCCCTTAAAGGTAGTATCACTAACTGCTATATTACCTTACAGTAGAGGAGGTACCGCCCATCTCACCTCTCTAGTGTCTGCCTCTTCAGCCTTTCTCTATAACGATTAACAGGTCAACGCTAGTCCTTTCAATATTTTTTCAAGTCAGAAGCATAAGCACAATAGTCCACAAATAACAATTGTTAATTATATGCATGTTCAATTCTGACCTGCAAGGCTTCCTCAGCCTCCTCCATTGCAGGTCTTGCAGCTTCGAGCTTCTCCTCTGCTGCTGCTTTATCAATGGCAATGTCATCTACAATGGCTTGAGCTTTGTCTTTCACCTTTTGCACCTGCATTTTCACCTTTTCAGCAGCTTGAGCTTTCACAGTCACTTCCAATAAAACCTCATCAGTTTTTTTTGAAGCTACAGCCAAATCTTTCTCCTTCTCCACCAGTTCTTTGGAGAGCTGATTTACTGAAATCTCAGCTTCCATCAGTTTTGAGAGACCTGTGTAGAACAAATTCTATTTTAGCAATAGGCTAAAATTAGACATGAGAGAGAAACATCAGTCTAGTAAACTGGATACCTAAAATAAGTCACTCAAACTCATATCTAGGAATCCCAGTGAGTGATCTGATTTGTTGAATATGAAAATAAAGCACGGGTAACATTCATTTCCTATTTAGAGTTCTTACTATTTATTTTTTTTGGGGTAAGAAACTTCAGAATCTGTTCGTGGATCACTTGTTTATATTTTTATATAAAGGGATGGACACTAAGTAATCCATACACATGCACACACACACACATGTTGAGAAGCACTAGTAGTGTGAATGGCATTCTTAAGAAGTCTCTGAGTAACATTAGAAATCCACGAGACCATAAGAAGTAGCAGACTATTGCTAAACTCCACAGCACAGGGAAGTGGAACTTAGCATCCTGAGCAATGCAAGAGAAACGAAAAGAGGAGGAGACTATGCTGAGCTTCTAAATTCAACATTACATGAGGATCCAGATGAAATGAGAGGAAGAAGAACTGAAGATTCTTGAGCAATAAAAATCCTTATAAAAAAAATCTATGCCTGTAAATCAAGTAAATCTTTCTAACTCTCCAAACTAGCATGAATGTTCCTTCCAGGCAGTCAGACACCCTCTACCTATGGAGATACATGTACATAGCACAGTCCTGCAACTGGCTATAGTAGGAGAGGAAATGGTTTAAGGGCACAGTAACCTCTAAACACCATCCGGTTTCAGAAATTCTTTAAGTGGTGACTGCATATGACCTGCAATATAAAGACTATTTTAGAAATTTTGTATTTGTCATATAACTGTTTCTTTAAAAGATTATTCAGAATGACTGAATCTGAACATTTACTTTCCCTCAGTTTTAAATTCAGTATGCTTAAATGTGGAAACTAGATTCTCAGTAGTTCCTTGGCATGCATACATGTAGAAGCAGGAAATTCAGGAATTTTAACTGCTAATTAATACTAAATAAAAAACACATCTGCAATCTGCAACATTCACAAAGTTAGCTGAAACAAAGCTTCCACATATTTAGTACATACACTCAATATAGTTGAAAACATGACGGCCTGTTTTTAAGTGAAAGTGAGCTCACAATTTAAATGCATTAAATCTCTACGTGCATAAGAATCTGTATTTCTACATTCTCTTACTCGGATTCTTCTTACTTTAAAAAAAAAAAAAGAATTTACATTACCTGTTCTCATGCGTTCAGACAAACTTCCAACACTGGAAAATTTCTCTTTGTAAATGGCTTTGTAGCCTCCAATGAAGGACAGGTAAGATTTTGGAGTCACAAACGTTCGGCGTCTGTATCGTTCGAAGTATTCAATACATTTTTCAGCTACGATATCTTGAAATGTTCCCATAGTGTTAACAACACTATGTTTCACTTCATCTGTGCATTCAATACTGTAGGAAACTAAAAAATGCTGTGCAACTGCTACAAGAGCATCTTTAGGCCAGTGCTGGAACCAGTCCAAGGTACAGCCTGAAATCAGACCTGGAAATTTTAGTGCACGAGTTCTGAATTTTTCCCCAACAGGAGAAAAACAAAGAACTACATGCAGGTTATTGCGAACTCGAGTAAGAAAGTAATCATAAAGGTTTTCACCAGTGGGAGTATGCCTTGGGTACTGCTTCTTCATTGCTGGCATCAGGTCTTGTATGATTTCGTTTATTTCATCCCGTGCAAAAAGATTTGAAACCTCACCTGAAGCCAAAACATTGTTCATGTACTCAAGAAAAGACTCATCTCTGATTTCATTGTCTGTGAATATAAAGGCAATGCCCTTTCCTTTCTGCCCAGCAGAGCGATACAAAAATTTCAGATCATCCAAAAGGTTATTGATGGCATATGTTCTGGGAGAGAAAAGTATTAGAGAGAGAGAGAAGAAAAAGTATGGATCATTTTAGGAAATATCTATCATCTGGCTCAGTTTCATTTAGGCAAGAAAAAAACTTACGTATGAAATTAATCTACATTATCTCCTGGCTTAATTTTTAAGTTTTTTTTCCTTAAATATTGTGCCAAAGTGAATAATCAGTGCCAAAAATTATGGGAAGTGAATTAAAATCAATAGAATATCATGCTGCAAAAAGATGGTAAGAATAATACTATGTCTAAGGTAAGTAATGCTGATTTGCATCTCTACAGTTTATGCACTTAAGCTCTTTATTAAAACTGAAGAGTAGTATAGCTGACTTACATTGGCAGGTAGTTTCTATGGCCTGTAACCATTACATAAAGATAGATGGATTATCTTTTGGACATATTGAGGGTAGGGTAAAGGAAATCATTATGACATAGACAAGAATAACCAAAGTCTGAGGTTTATACTGTGCTATTTGGTTTAACTGCATTCAAGTCCAAGAAAGGATATGTTTGAACGTTATCACTTGGGCTCATAAACACTGCTGAGAACAGAGACCATAACTGGTTCATTTGTTATGCCACTTATAGCTGATGCATACAAGTACGGTTTAGACAAAGTCCATGCAAATTCTACTATTGATTTTAGATTATGCAATATCTAATGAACTAAATTAAAGTAAATAAAATGGCAGATTTGCCCATAATGTCCTTAACCAATGAAAGCTGAAATTAGGATCTTCTTTTCTTTGAAACTAGCTTCTTATTTCCAAGAATTTCTTCAAAGACATAACAAATACTTGTAATATACGCAGGGCCCATTCTTCAGTGTTTGAAAATACTGTTTCAAAATCATATATGCCATACAGAAAGTGTCTCCTAGTTCTCTTACAGGTCCAGCATTGCTCTACAACACTCTACAACACTGTAGAGCTCATAAAACAATCTAACTGTTCAGTCTGCATGTAACAACTGCTGTTACTATAGTAATTTGTGGTATACTGATAAGAACATAAATGCTCTATTCAGTCAGGTCAGTGGTGCATCTAGCTCAATATTCTTAACACTAGCAATGGGAAATGCTTCTTGAAGAGAATACATGAGCTGGCATCCACTCTTCACTACCCATTCCCATCCCTCTCCCCTTGTATTCATAGCTTTTGTATTAAGAGTGCTAGCAGGTATATGCCTCTTGTCCTTTCAATACCCATTTAGCAAATTGCTGATACTGTCTTCCTCCACAGCCTTCTATGGCAAGTTACAGAGGATAACTCACTATTCTGTTTCTCTGCTCTTTTCCTTTCCCTCCCTTTTCTATTCTTATTGTTCCTTCCTTCTGCATCTGGGGCACAGGGAGAGACCCTTTCCCTTCAGCAGTAACTTCATAACCTTGTTAAAAGATCTAGTGTATCTTTCTAAGGAAGATTTCTCAGTGTACTGAGTTGTTTGCAGAGTGAAATACACACTGCCAACCTTCAGTGTTTACCACTGTAAACCGTATGCCAAAAGAGAAAGAGGTAACAGGCAGTAGTTACTCTCAGTTAAATCAGGAAGGTTTATACATAATTCCTACCAAACAATCAGCTGGCAATGCTGACAAGGCCTTTGAGATCAGATACCTTCCAATCCTCTTGTCAGGAATGACAGGGACAGGTTCAAAACAACCTCCAGAAATAAAGATGGAGAAAACAAGCAAATATAGTTTGCTACTCTTCCTCTACTCCTTCCTCCCCTACCCTCCCTCTGAAAAGAAATCAAGTAAATGTAATTTAAAATATAGCGTCCTAATGTAACAAAAAAAAAACAAACAACAGTGCTCTCTCCCCCAAGCTTCTTCAAATTTCAGCACTACCCCTCATTAAGTCATTGATAGCAATTGTAATACTAAAGTCTGGGTGCATGAGCATCTATAAGAACACCTACTATTTCCTCCTGCTCATCAATAATTGCTCACTATATTGAATCCACCTGTAGATTATTCCATGTTATCTTTAAGGCAGAATAGTTTAGTGGGATTTCACAAGTAAGCACTACAGACTTCAAAGAAAGAAAGATTTCTTGTCAATAGCATTTACTGAATATGTATTATAATATGTATTAAAACAAAGGATGTGCCATCTACAAACTGTGCACTTGCACATGTTCTCTTCAAAAATGTAGTTTTCAATGAGCAATACAATGTCTGACAGGTTTGCATTTCTTTAAGATAATTGTCAGCTGTTCATTTCTGTGGCAAATTAAGGAACAAATGTCTGTCTACACTGTGTTGTATTACCTTGTTAAAGTAATCTGAAAGCTTTCATATCCAGCAATAAATGACGCTAGTCTGGTCAGACTCTGTTTTCCAGATCCACCTACACCCACTAACAATGCATTTCCTTGTGGAGTACGAATAATCCGTGATATTTTAATCAAATGGATGATTGCATCCTGTATATTGAGGAAAAAAAAAAGGATGAGAAGATGCAAAAATAATATAACATATCTTTATCTAGAAGTACATTACAGAGAACCGTCACTCATAAAAGCCAGAATCCATCTCTGGAGCTTATGCTAAAGGCTCAGACCCATACTAATCAAATTCAACAAATGATTTTCCCTTGACTTCAGCAGAGCTAGCCTAGGAGCTAGCTAGTTTCAGCTCTTCTGAGTACAAACACTGCATATGACATTGTTTCCTATGAACATGCCTCTTAGGGGATCGGAGAAAAAGTAGAAAGAAAGTGGATTAACATCCTCCCCCAACCTTTTAGCTGAGCTATTTACAATCTCTCTAAATAGCATGCTGCCTAAAGCAAAATACAAGCACACTATGGATGTTTCTTACTCAGTCATATTATTTATCTTAAGGCAATAAATAATCTGAAATGCCCTAAAATTCTACCAGAGCACTGCATCTAAGCTGAAGAAAATATCAAGCATTAAGAGACTTCTGAAAAGCTGGTAACTTCCAAAGATGCAAGATGACTTTTACAGTGTGCTGCGTGGAAACAAACAAGTTATGCTTTGGGTTAGGCAAGGCAGCCCCCTCACTAAGCAGGGCATGCATGTTCTTGCCTACAGGTTGGCCAGCCTAGTAAGGAGGGCTTTAAACTTGGAAAGATAGGGGGAGGGGAGAGTTATAGAGACCACCCAGAAAACAGGGCTCAAGTGGGGATACCTCCAGCAGGTGCATGCAGCCAAGGAATGCCTACAAGATATGACTATGGGGTATCCTCTTGCACCTCCCCTGTGAAACCTGCATGCTCAAATACCTGTCTGAAGTGCCTGTACACCAATGGGGGAATAAACAGGAAGAGATCTGTGTGCAGTCGCAGGGCCTTGATCTCATTGCGGTTACAGAGACATGGTGGGATAGTTCACATGACTGGAAGGCTGTCCTGGATGGATAGGTGCTTTTTAGGCAAGACAGGCCAGGAAGGCGAGGGGGTGGAGTTGCCCTTTATGTGAGAGAGCAACTGGAATGTATGGAGCTCTGCCTAGGGGTGGATGAAGAACAAGATGAGAGACCATGGGTAAGGATTAAAGGGCAGGCTAACCTGGGTGACACAGATGTGGGGGTTTACTACAGGCCACCTGACCTCCTGGAGGTCCTCACTAAGCATCTGGAGGACAAGCAGGTGATCAGGAGGAATCAGCACGGATTGACCAAAGGGAAATCATGCTTGATCAATCTGATCGCTTTCTGTGATGGGATGACTGGCTGGGTAGATGAGGGCAGAGCAGTGCATGTTGTCTCCCTGGACTTCCGCAAGGCTTTGGACACTGTCTCCCATCACATCCTCCTAGGTAAGCGCAGGAAGGGTGGGTTAGGTGAGTAGACAGTGAGGTGGATTGAGAACTGGCTAGGTGGCAGAGCTCAGAGGGTTGTGGTGAATGGCACAGGGTCTAGCTGGAGGCCCTGTGCCCCAGGGGTCAGTCCTGGCTCCAGTCTTGTTCAATGCATTCCTCAATGACCTGGAGGAAGGCTCAGAGTGCACCCTCAGCAAGTGTGCTGATGATCCAAAACTGGGGGGAGTGGCCGACACACCACAAGGCTGTGCTGCCATTCAGAGGGTCCTGGACAGGCTGGAGAGCTGGGCGGAGAGGAACCTCATGAAGTTCAACAAAGGCAAGTGCAAGGTCCTGCACCTAGGCAGGAATAATCCCATGCAGCAGTACAGGCTGGGGGTTGATGTGCTGGAAAGTAGCTCTGCAGAGAAGGACCTAGGAGTGCTGGTGGACAACAGGTTGACCATGAGGCAGCACTGTGCCCTTGTAGCCAAGAAGGCTAATGATAGCCTGAGCTGCACTAAGAGCATTGCCAGTAGGTCGAGGGAGGTGATCCTGCCCCTCTGCTCAGCCCTGGGGAGGCCACACTTGGAGTGCTGCGTCCAATTCTGGGCTCCCCAGTATAAGAGAGACATGGAGCTCCTCGAGCAAGCCCAGCAGAGAGCTCTGAAGATGATGAAGGGACTGGAGCATGTCTCATCTGAGGAAAGGCTGAGAGAGCTGGGCCTGTTCAGTCTGGAGAAGAGAAGACTGAGAGGAGGATCTGATCAATGTGTACAAGTATCTGAAGGGAGGGTGTCAAGAGGACGGGGCCAGGCTCTTCTCTCTGGTGCCCCGTGACAGGACAAGAGCCAACAGGCACAAAGTGAAAGACAGGCAGTTCCGTCTGAACACAAGGAAAATCTTCTTTCCTGGGAGGGTGACGGAGCACTGGAAGAGGTTGCCCAGCGAGGTAGTGGAGTCTCCTTCCCTGGAGATATTCAAAACCCGCCTGGACGCAATCCTGGGCAACGTGCTCTAGAGGACCCTGCTTGAGCAGGGGGATTGGACTAGAAGATCTCCAGAAGCCCCTTCCAACCTCAATCATTCTATGATTCTGTGAGAAAGAAAAGATAGGGAACTGTAAAGAAATGGAATAATTTGGGGAGCAAAGACAGCCTGGAGACAGAAGCATTGTTTTATACTGCTTATGTTAAGGCAAGTCCACTCTGGATACAGGGCTAGTCATTTTAAGCTAACTCCAAAGATAATCTTTTGGAAAAACAGAAAGAACCATGTAGCATTAAGTGCAAAGAGACCAGACACTTTTCATATTGACAAAATTATAGATATTAATACCTTGAAAAATACTAAATCCATCTTTGATCCTCTGATGGTTTCATTGTACTGCTGCATGAACATCTGTAATCTTTCAGCTAAATTATCCAAAGATGGGACAGGCTCATAAATTTTAGGAGCCTTCAACTCTACATTATTAGGTTCATCTCCAGTAGTTTCTGGGACATCACGTAAAAAATCCACGAAGTATAATTCTGTAGAACCATCTCTGAATAAATTTTGACCATGATCTGCAGCAGCAATCTGCAAAAACATACGAAAGATTGGTTTTAATAGTGAAACGTTTCGTTGGCCTCCTTCTGTATGATCACTGAATACTATTTGCTTACCTTTTTCATCATATCTTCAAACCAGTCTTTATCACTTTGGTTGATGAACCTATCTGCAATAACACGTCTGCATTCATGCTGGAACAAGGCTACCAAAACACTAGTGTTCTGGCAGACTTCAGAAGTAACGGTAAGTATTCCTTGCCAAATACGACTGAGGTCTCGTAAGTTGAAGATGTAATGAAATTTAGCTGGAGTTGGTAACATCTACAAAAGAATGTCATAATCTATATTCAGACATCTACTAAATAAAAATATTGCCTATCTAGTATTAAATGAATACTGTATTTTTCATGAACTTCAAAATGAATATTGCATTAGAGCAAAATACATGCTTGGCATTTAAAAGACAAAGGTAAAAATGAAAAAATGACAGTAGCAACGACCACCTCTTTAATTTCACATAGATTTCGCTCAAGTTTCTTTGAATATTTGCAGTCCCAGGAACACGGAGTGAAGGGTAGCCGAGACAGATCAGTTAGCAACGGCATTAAAGGCTACACTAAAAATGCCAGCAGTGCTTAACCTATTGCTTCTCTCCTACCTTTTCTTCCAATTCACTTCTGTCACTCTTTTTTTTCCTTTCCAAGAACAATTGTATATATATGGCAGCACAAAAGGCCTGGGTCTTGTTGCTTTGTCACAGTGCTGATGCTTCAAAAACTACTTAACAGAGAGAATTTTACCTTTGCTTTTGTTGTTTGCCAAATCTTTCGAGTTGTAGGTACTAATGCTGATGCCAGTTCACATATTTCTTCAGAGAAACCTCGCTGTTGACAGAAATAACCTTCAGCTACTGTTCGAAATATTTTGTCAATAGAGGAACTAGAAGGCAATGTGCAGTTATAGATAGTGAACTGGCGTTTCAGGCGCTGTGGAATGTCATTCCGACCCCCACCAGGGTGAATCATAGCAGCTATGAACTGGATGTCAACCACATTCGTAAATTCTCCTGGTTTTTCTAAATTGTAGAAACCCTTCTGTTCCATCAGCTGCCTTACAATCTCATTGGTGATCTAGTTATCCAAAAAAAGAAAGAGAATAGTTAGGTATTTGGGGAGTTTTCAAGGGAAAGGGGGGAGGGGAAAGGGAAAGGGGGAAGGGAAGGGGGAGGAGGGAAGGGAGGGGAGAAGAGGAGGGGGGAGGGAAGGGAGAGGACAGGAGAGGAGAGCAGAGCAGAGCAGAGCAGAGAAGAGGAGAAATCTCCAGTATAATAAAATAGCAGACAACAGGAAAGACACCTCCTATCTTTCTTTATGTTGAGTATTCTTCTGAACACTTCAGCAGTTTATAAAGCCATGCCACATGGCACCAACAGCTCTGACACAGTGGATTGGCTGCATCTAAGCTTTATGTGCTAATCAGTCATGGACATGGGGCTAGGCTTTCTGCTGGGTTTCCACAGTATGAATCTAAGAAAAATCAGCACTTTAAAATTAGACCTGTTCAGACTGACAGGCACTTAGATGAGTGACAAAGAATGGTTAGTTTAGCACAAAGCATAGTCTCATACTCACTTACACAGAGGCAGTGAGAAAACAGGATTACAGAGCTAGATGGGAGAAGAGGAGAAAAACAGCCTTTTCTCAACATTAATTTTTGTTTAATTTAAGTCAAACTTTCAGAGAATATAGGTCTATAAAGATTTCATTTATCAATACCTCAACACTGGTCCTGGATGTCTGAACTGTGATGTTAGATTCTACCTAACAATAACTGTACTTGAAAGACCAGAGTAGAAAGTAAAAAAAAAAAAAAAAAAAAAAATCTGATTGCTTCCTGGAGTTGCATGCTTCCTTTCCTAGGCTGGTTCTTAATACAGTAAGTTTGTAAATTCTGCAAGCTCTGCATGTCACTGAAACAAAAGGTTTAAAAGCTACAATGATTGCAGTAAATGACTTGCTGCTACCTGTGATCATTTGAGGCTGACAGCTTATCACTTATAAGAAACCTGGCTTGAGGAAATTGCCTTTAGTAGACATCCAAGAACTAGCCCATATTATGCTTTTTTCCCACTAAACTTTCCTATTTTTGCAAACCTCAGGTCAGCATTTCCATAACCGGCAATGGTAAGACCCCCAACTCCCTGATATTAGCACTTTCCTTTTACCTGGTCACCCCATTGATTAATCATAGGCATGTTGATGTCATCAATAAAGACAGTCATTTTCTTCCCTGCTGGAGGACCATATGTGGTGCCCATTCTTTTATCTATGTAACTTTCTATGCTCCTTTGGACCATATTTGGCAGAGTTGCAGAAGAGAAGTTTAGACATTTTGTCAAATGAACATCAGGATCATACTTAGTTGTGTAACCCTGTAAGATAAACCAATTTCAAGTGAAGTGCACCAGTAACTCCAAATGGATTCAACTGAAAGGAGACAGAGGTGCTCAGGATCCCTGCAAAACTTAGACATCTACAAAATAGCAGTCCTGCTATTAACTTTAAAATATCAAGCAGCAGTTTAAATATTCTAAGCTTTCAACCTGAAATTCAAACAAACTCTTAGTTAATGTTTTGCATAAAGTTGTAAAGTATTAAAATATACAAGCTTTCAATAGACTTCACAAAGTGTTATAACAAGTAGATGTATGATGACTCAGGATGCAAATAAGCTGTGTCAGAACTTTTTTTTTTTTCCTGAAGGCAAACTGTTAAAGATGACCTGTTACAGCAGTCTGCAAGTAATAAGTGAAAATCCAGGTCCTTTTTCACATTTACAGTACAGCACTACAGCTTACAACAAGAGCAGTGTAAAGGAACATTTGTGTAAAATTAAACCCAGACACATGAAATTTATTGGCATTCATCTTTTCTTAATATTGACAGGAATCTTTGCTTGGTTCTAAAAACTCATAACATTCCCATAGCTGCTGCTGATGCCTTAGAACAAAAAAGGGAGTTCCATTGTTTGTTCTTAATAAGGTGTTTATAACAGCACTCTCAGGAAAAAAAAAATGTAACCCTGGAGTCATACCAAGGCATATATTTATAAAGTATGGGAAATATTTTCCTTAGAAAGGGTCCTGGGACATAAAAATAGTGTTAAAAAGTCCAACTTTCCAACATTTGTTCTCTTTAACTATTCAATTCACCTGCAATGATGAAAGGAAAATACAGCTAAAATCTCTCAAAATATTTTGAGAGAATAGTGTTAAACTGCTGATTTTGCTGACTATGTCAATGCTATGATCTCAGTTTAAGAAAAGTTGCCTCTTAGAAATACACTTTTCTGAAGCATGACAAAAATTACACTCTATGCCTGCAAGGTATACACAACAGTTACAATGTTTGCTGCATACTCAACAGCCGGTTCATTGGTACATTTCACTGATCAGCCCTTTTACAGTTCTAATAGTTTGTATAAAACTATGAAAGTATAAACATTCAAAAAATACACTTGCCTTTTATTCATTACAGTATTTCTGAATCATTACATGGTGACAGTAATATTCCATAAATAAATGTGAAATATCTTTGAAACAAAAGAGGTTATTTGATGAGGGTTTTTTTTGTTAGTTAAACATCAGATTCTAGATGCAATTTTCTGCTCATACCAGTTTCACATTAAATACTGGTTTTTGCTGTTCATGAGCAGCATACTACAAAAAGCAAACCAAAGGTCCTAAATAACACTCTGTTTTAAATTCTTTATTTTGACATATACTGATACTCTACTCAAATCTTCAGGTTAATACCTGAAGTGTTCTGTATTACAGCCTTTTTCGTGAAAGCAGTTGCATATATCTGGAAATTTCTTTTCCATAGTAAAGCAATGCTCTACAGAAGTTGGAAGCAGAAGAACAGTTGTAGAGGCAGTTAACTTTCTCTCTTAACCATAGATGAGATCAAATAGCTACTGGCACTTTTGGAAACTATGGTCCCCTGTGTAAGGAACACATTCTGCTCTGCAGAATAGATATAGGGTAAGCAACTCCTGAGATTCAGCTCCAATTATTTTTAGGGACAAGAAGAGCAGCTGAAGGCTGGAGGTTGCCTGTATCTGGCTAAAATCCAGTATGCAGAATATCAAGACCACCATCCAGACTCCGCCTCTTCACCCTGCTAAAATAGTTCTCCAGCTGGTGCCAGGAACAGAAGTTGACATTACACTGGCGTGCACATTGGCATCAACAAGCTGAAAAGCTAGTATTAATTGCTACTGGCATTGGTGCTATTCACTTTATTTCAAGACTCAAAAAGCACATCCCTAGGAGACACAAAAGAGATCCAGATTTTAAAAAAGCCAATCAAGACTGTCAATCGAGGCCAGTAGCTTTCAACCATTTTCAGTTTCTAGACTTCTACAAAACCTCCAGCAGAAGTACAGGGGCAGGCCTGTATGGCCTATTCAGGCATATTCAGCTCTCTGTCAGTAAATTGTTACTGAGCTATCTTTGACAGAACAAAGCCTACAGATTCCCCTGGAAGTTACAGACACCATGTTGAAGTCCACTACACAAGCATGTGTTAAATAAGGGACACCAAACATGGGATGATGTTCGGGTTTTTTCAGCCTTTTGATTTTTGACTCTTCTCTAGTAAGCTATTAATTTTTATACATGTATTGTAAGATTAACTGGACTCATTTTATAATATGGAAAACATATATTTGTTAATTTCATGGCAATACTGCCAGTATTTGCTTCTACAGAAAGAACAATGTGTCATTCTCACTAAGGGAATCAAGGAATTATTTATCATAATAAATACTAAATTTACTCTCTGAAAAATTACCCTCAGTGAAGAAGGAAGTTCTTTATTTCTGTTCAGTTTGGCTTGTTGAAGAAAGTCTATGCAACAAGGGCCAAAGAGATCAGTTTGCATAAGCCACCACTGACAATCTATGGGGAAATAAGAAATCCTCCAATAAATAGTATTTTCTTACTTAGCAAAAAGTTTAAAAGAACCACCATAGATACTTATATTGTTCTATTTATAGGGATTGTGAATACTGGCAAAACACCCCCGTGGGAATATGCTATTATGCAATATAAGGAAAAATCAAATTACTTGCTCACTTCAATTTAATGCTTGTGCCAATGACAATTATTTTCATTGTAATGTTACCTTACAAAGATACGAGGGGTTTTTCCATTCTACCTACCTTAATCATAACTGTTTTTGCTGTTCCCTGTTCCCCAATCAGCAAAACAGCTTTTCCTTGTTTCATGATAGTGTGCATTAGAAAGTCTGTTCGGACAGTGTCCACATTTGGAACTAGAATGGAAGTATATTCTGGTACTGAATCTTTAGAGTAAAAATATTCTGGGACCTGCATAAGAAAGATATATATAAAGTCTGAGACTTTGTACGTGGTCACAGACACACTTTGCATCACAATACCAACACAAATGCAGCGTATATTAGCAAAAACTTTCTTCCTGAAAGCAGAGCATCCATTTATAATCAATCAGTAACTTGCCAAGCTTTTTAAAAAGGATGTTAGACTAACATGGCATTTTCACCCAACTATTCTCCATTATATGGAGATAGCTTTTCTTTGCTGGGAGATTTTCAGTACTAAGTAGATAAAAGCTAGGGTAACTTTTCTATTTCACTTCCAAACATGTTTCACATGTGTGTTCCCATTCTCTGACAAAAATATTTGTGGGGAAAAGAAAAATTCCTTCAAAAAAGAAACTCTTGAGCACTTGGTAGGGTTAATCTTCCTAACTAAATTATGCAGGCCTTTATTATTTAATAATAATATGCCTCTTACCAAGCATACGTCTTGCGTATTCATTAAGAAAACTTAGCATGTTACAGCATACGAACCTTCTTTGACCAGTGCTCCCACTGGCCACAGCCACTGATAACAAAGTCAAACATGGTCTCTTCACCATTCACAGCTGGAAGTTCTTTCACTGCAGAATGCTTCCGCAGGAACAGCTCCATTTTCAGCCTGTCATCCAGTTCCAAAAGAGCTCCAATTGACCACATTACAGCAAAAATGAACAAGCGAGCAACGTGTTCCTTGGTAGGCTGCTTCTCATCCGTGTCTGACAATAAACCCTGCAAAGCAGATGTAGTTTGCAACTACTGGCTTCCTAGAACAACACCCAGACACAAATAATAGAATGACAGATAGAAAAATTGATGTCATATCTACCTGTAGGAGGTCAATAGCTTGTTTGATGTACATGCATTCTAAAATTGGCATTTTTGGTGTCACAGCAGAGAAAACAAAATCAATTATATCCTAGGAAGAAAAACATCATTTAAAGAATGTTTCCCCAAACCCATAAATCAACAGTAAAATTTATTCTTAGCTGTGTCTAATTACTTCATTACAACTACAGTCTCTACTTCATTCTGAACTATATTTTTCTCCCTTTCTGGGATTACAAACATTCAGATTTTGACCACAAAATTCACTTAACAGTAAACATCTTATAAAAACTAACATTGATGTACCACAGTCAGCAAAATTATTCATACAGGCTACATACAGCGATCTTCAAAAAAGTAATTTGAAGACTGTGCTTCAGTTACATCAGGAAACTGCCACTTGTGCTTGCCATTAGGGATTTTAACTTATTGCCATTTCTGAAGTGAGAAGATAAAAGCACTAGAATTGCTGTAATGACACATATATAGTGCACAACCTCACCAGTATCATTTTCTATCCAATCTGTTCTGGCTACACCATAAAGTACCTATCCCTCTTGAAACAGATATTCTCAGTTTTCTTCAGAACTCTGATAGAATCCAAAGGGAAATTTGCAATTGATTTTAATGGGACCACGACTTTTCTCAGAATATTATTCCACAGTGACTGTATTCTCTTACATCTTCAGTAAAGTTGCAAATTGATATAAAGTCTATTCTGAGATTTGCTGCGCAGAATTATTTTCAAATACTAGTTGCCATCTATAGTTCAGACTAATGTAAAGTATAACCTAATTTCACTTTCATTTAACAATTTTACTATGATTCCCTCCCTACAGATCCCCTTAGCCTTTGTAATCTTTGAAAAACAACACTGCACACGCATTCTAAGAAGACAAAGTACAACAGGAATACACCAACTTTTTTGGTTTTCCATTTACGCCCCATGTTCAGGCAGTCATAAAGGTAAGACAGTGAAGACATTCAAACACCTAAAGATGTAAACAATTACCTAGACCTATTTTTGAAAAAACAGTGAGCTGCCTAACCACACATTCACAAGCCTTGCTTGTGGGGTAACTAACCTTGCTACTTACCCAGTTTTTGTTTACTTTTTTGCCAATAAGCAATACTTTATGCTGAGTGTTCATCAGCACAGGGACTGAACCAAGATTTTCACCCACCCTCCTGAGTTTCTGTTCACTAGAACAGTGGGTAACACACATAACAAAGATATACATTATGAGAGAGAACTGTCTTAAGCATTTTAAACCAGACAGTGATCACGGCTATACACTCTGAGAACCAGGGCAGCCTGAATGTGGGCATACATAGGAGGAGGGAGGCTTAGAAAACATCTCTCTCCTTGATATTTCTTGTTGACAAGCAGAAGTGCTTCCACTTCTGTGTGTTGCTTTTAGCAGTTTTGCCTCAAGTATGCCTGTTTCACCCCCAGCAGTGTGTAGGGTGCTCAAGTGACTAATTTGGGGCTTGTGGGTTCCACAAGCATGTGGTAGAAGTTAGGTACTGCAAGCACTGGGGAGATTCAAGTCTGAGGACTTTTAAAACTTGGACCCAAATCTCTTTGTGATTCAATTCCTTCACCTGTAAAAAGAATAGATGTTTCACAGGGCACTGCAAATTATTTAATAATTGGTTTGAGACACCTTAGAATAAAAGTGCTATCAAGCAGAGATCTATGACACTGGATGAAAAGAACTCTGGCTCTAATCTAGTCTAAAAATTACTAGATCTTTCACTCAAACAATATACAGACATGCTGAAACTCATATTACTCACATACATCTGACACTTGTTTGAGTGTCACAGTCAAACTAAGTAACACCACTCATGTAATTACCATAATTATCTCATTTCTTTGAAAACATCTCTGATTTTCATTGGCTAAGCAATTCTCTTCCTTACAGGTAGCAGTAACACTCACAGAAAAGAAATTCATGGCATTGTGAAGCGGTATAGCTTTCAAAAAAGAGAATAGTCACTTTAGAAGGGTATGGAAGGTTATCTGAAATTATTCCTAAGGGGCAAATGTAACTAGGAAGAATGAACTGGGAGATGGAGAGTGGAACTCCAACCCTTTAACCATCCTTTTAAAAAAATGCCACAGAAATAGAAAAAATAGAGATAATCTTGATTCAAAATAAGGTTATGGGTTTAAGGTGTTGTTTTTTTTTTAATTTACCTTTCTCTTTTGGATTCCTCTTATCTTCTATGTAAAAACTAATCACTTGCAGTGGTATGTATTTTATACATGAAAAGACTAAATACATTCTTTCCACTGCTTGATTCACAAAGAGCATTATCTGGAATTTCCTATCCTACATTATTTCTACTGGCTGTACCTTCACTAATAATGATTTTACCCAATGTATAGACTTTCAGTGACAAAAAATAATTTTATAAGGACAAATAATGAGTGTTTCTTGTAAGCAAATTGGAATTACTATACCAGGTTTCTTACTTAGAGTTTTGGTTCAATTTAGATTGATTTCAAAGGGCTTCTATACTTCTTGAAGTAGACTTCAAGAGTGATTCTCCTTGGTTAGCATATTTCTATCCATAACTTAGTCTGCATTTTTTTTCTAGAAGTCAGATATTTATAAGATACTTATATCTGTGCTTTTTTTCATTAAATGCACCAAGCCCTGTATTTGGGGGTTGATTATCATTGTTAATGCATTTTATTTTACAAAGTTTTCTTCTAGAATTTATTTATCCAATTTTTAAATGTGGGGAAAATAATAACTGTAAGAGGAGAATACAGAAGTAGTGTTACTCTCATTTATAAAATCAGTTATCACCTCCATTATTGGAGAAGATAGCTCATTAAAAGTGAAAGAAATCTGACAGCATGACAGCTTTCATTTACATTTCAATAGTTCCAAATGCAGCCCTTCAGCACAGAACTAACTTCATGTTTCACTGCATTTTAATCTCTCAATCTAATATAATACGTATTTTTCTGGACTTGAATGCTATTGCTTCAGGGCTGGTATTTTAAATGTTGGTATTATGCTTTCATAGAGAGTAGTAGTATAAAATATAAGCAGAATTGTGGCAAAGAAGCAGTAAATTGACCCATATACATTATTTTGGAATCTATTTTAAAATTCATTATCAGAATTGTTTCTCTTGTTGCTGCAGTAAATACTTTGTCATATCATTATGTTCTGGAGGTAGAACAAAATGAATAGCTTGTTAAACTTTGATTTCAAAGTAAATGGGAACTAAAATGAAACATAACTGTGAGAAAACGTTTGCTAACATTCTAGACATTCCAAAATGAGATCAATCATTGCTTTTATCATAATTTATATACAACTTTCTGAAAATGTCACTCAGAAGTTCATTAAAAACTGCATTTGTAAAATCCAGCAAATATGACAAATATTATAGGCCGCCATGAGATCCAACACAAAATAAACATGAAAATTGGCAGGATTGCCAATGAGAAAAGAAAGAATATAAAGTTCTATTGTTTCACAGACGTTAAATGTGGAAATCAGAAGATGATTACAAAGATGGAAGACCACAAAGTAATCATTATTGCCACAAAAATTTCCAGGGAAAAAAATAAGAATTTCAGTGTAATTGAAGAAGGTATGTTACTGAGATTATGCTTATACAGCACTACTGTGTCCGACTGTCCATAATATTAATGAAACCTTTCTACTGATTCAGTTTGCTTTGCCCAGATGGAGTGAAAAAATGTTCTGAATTCTCCTTCTAGGCCTATTGATTGAATACAATTTAGTCAGATAATGTATCAAAGAGATGCCATCTAAAAAATCTGAAGCATAGAAGTCTTTTCCTAAAGTGCATGATCTTTTGGAACAGATAATAAAATCAGAAGGCACCACTATAATCACCTATGTCGAGCTTCTCAATACCACACAGCACAGAACTGTCCTGAATTAATTTGAACTACAGCATGTCTTTTAGAAATAAATAATCAACCAAAGGCATTTCTGCTGCACCTGAAATTAATAAAGATTCAACAAGAGTGAATCTAAATTTTGTCCTAATTTACCTATTTACATTTAAAACAAACACGTTTACTTCCTTTGTGTATCCTAACAATAATTAAAATTGCAGTAACAATTACAGTCAAAGAGAATAGGTCTGTTTTGCCAACATGCACTATAAAATAATTACAGATTTAACAATTCACTGCCAACTAACCTATGCAAACAAACCAAAAAGTTATCCCATCATCAAAATTATTCATCTGATATATTTTCATTAATTCACTAATGATCATTTTCTCTTTTTTTTCTTAAATCCTTCACCTTTATTAAGCAAACAAATGGATAAATTACTGAAATAGCAATTAGAGGAAACAATGCTATGCTAAATGAATAAGGAATGCATTTTTTTTCTGAAATAGTTGATCTAAGTACCTGAAATATAGTATTAAAGCAATTCCATAAGACATCAGAGTATGTAACAGGTAATGTCTGCAGCCAAGCCCTTAGAATAGGCCTCCAGTCTAACACTGAAGAGCTCATGAAGACCATCCCATTACGAGAAACTGTTGCAGGAGAAGCATTGTCAATGTTGTGAGGTTCAAAAATAATTTTGCAGGTGGGGGACATTGGAATACGATCTCCATTAGCCAAAGTAAGGGTCTTATTATCATCCAGAACAGAGTTGAGATTTTCAATCCATATTGCATCGACAGGTCCATCCAAAACTATCCAAATATGTTCACCCTAAAAAAAATTACATCTATATATATATATATGTATATATGTAGACACATGCAAGTTTAAGTACCTTGATTAAAAATAGATTTACTTAACACTTCAGAGGACATGTTCTTGGATATAAATATCAAGTCATAATTTGATGCTGATTGGCTCAGCATCAAATGTAGTCTTTTTACTTTGACGAGTGAATTTAATCCTTCTTTTGTTATCCTGTATCATACCAAAATGTATATCAAAGAATAACGACTAAAATTAACTTGGACTGTTCTAAGCATAGAGTTGTCCATTTCTTTTACATCAAGGTAGATGAAAACATTTCCTATTAAATAGAGTCATAGACATAGGCACACAGTCCTTGCAGAATATTGCCTAAGTATTTCATCTAACGCTTCTCATTTTCTAAGTGAAAACTGAATGAAACACATAACGCATGCAAACTTCAAAACATTTGAGAGTTATTATGACTCAGGGAAAGACCATTTGTAGGTTTGATAGGAGAATTAGGAAATGCTCATACTGATTTCTTAACAGAGCCCTCTTATAGTCTTTTGATATAATTACTGATAAGCAGTGGCAATGACATAAAACCAGAGGCGAAGAAACTATCTTTCCTGTCTTCCTATTAAAACATTAACAACCTCTGTTTTTGTGGTTGAATGGTGGGACTACCTGCTTACAGAAGGAAGTAAAACCCTTTAAACCTTTTCTGACTCAGTCCTGGAAACTCAGGTGCTTATGTTTGTGAAACCTCTGTAAACTCTGGCATGTATACATAATTCAGACTCTTGGGTATGCTCAGCTACTCACACAAAGCAAAACGAGTACTGTATTTTCCAGTTTGATAACTGAAGACCTTTTACATAAATTACTCAGGTAATGAGACCTTATGGAAATAGCATTCAAATGTTCTTATTGACTATCATGATGCAATATCCATTACCTTCTTTGATTTTAAAGTTTTTCTCCATAAAGTAGAGAAAATGCCATCTGTCCAGTCATTTGAAGCAACATCAAGAGTACCAAACATCTGGGAAGCTGTGATTGCCTTTGGGTTCATTCTCATCTCTTTATGAGGGGCTCCACAATCTGTCATTGCTTTCATCAAAATATGAATGCATTTTGTCTTTCCTGTGCCAGTTGGACCCAGTATCATCATACCTTAAGACAATACAAACTGATTTAAAATAAAACATCAAAATGTCGTACTACCATTTAATGATATTTTGCATCACTCATCCTGGTTTTTTTTTTAATCAAAATCAAATATAAAAAGAAGTTTCTCACTCCACTTACTCACTGTTGACTGAAATGAATTTTTAAAAATATTATTAAAAGGCCTTTACAAATGTCTGCTTTATTCTGGTAGATAGAATATAGAATAGAGACAGTCAATGTGGGTCTGTATCCTCCCTCAGGCAGTTCCATTCTTTCTTCTAATTGAAAAACAACAGCTGCCTTTTGATGTGTGATGACATTGACCTGACTGGTGGTAAATAAAAACAATAATTTCTAAATGTATTTAACAAGAGTTGTTCCCAATGATTCAAAAAACCTAGCATATCTTTCTGAAGCCAAAGTAACAAAAAATACAAACCTGCATTCATCATGCTGACATTTTAATACATTTTTCTTTTATAAAAAAATTTAGCAGCAATCACACTTTTAATTTCATCAGTTTATATGCTTATTGCCTAAGGAAAAGAAACCATGCCTTCAGCAATAAATTGAGTCTATAGTTGATCCTATTTAGTTATATTTTACTAAGTCAACTATGCAAGAGGCCCAGAGTCTGCCCAAAAGCAGATGGGACATTCAAACAGAGACTTCCAAAGTCATCAAAAGGAGGTAGATAACTAACTTCTACTAACTTTAGTGGTACCTGGACAATGTGGTGTTTAGCCACCTTTGAAAACCTCATCCACAAAGTTACGGACCATACACTCGCAAATCAAGGTTACAAAGCTATTCCAGGAAAACACAGATTGTCTGATGTTTGCTCTAAACTAAAGGGAGCTGAACATTCCCCAAAACATTTTGAGCTCTCAGATATCCACTTGCTCATGCCATATGTTAGATACAGAAAATCTAATCCAAGCCCACTGATGTTAATAGAACGGCCCTTTCTGCTGGTTTCAGCAGCATTTAGATCAAAGTCATTATGCAAAACATATTTCCAGGATCCAGGTGCTGACACCCTACACACATGTGCGTGCATGAGCACCTTCTTTGCACATACTGACTCTTTTCCAATCAACAAAGATTCTCTTTTCCAATTCCCATTCCTTGAAACCCTACAGTAACCTCTCCATAAATCCAAGCATCCCATGAGCAGGACAAATGGAAGTCAGGAAAACAGACTTTTTCCACTCCATGCAATAAGATGCTTCACAGAAAGGGCCTGGACAACCAAATGTTAGGCCAATTGGAGTTCCACTACCAAAGGGAGTAGCTGAGATGAGTGGAGAGAAGAGGCATCTAAACAGAAGGACACAGTGGATCCTGGAGATCTCTTGGGAACTGTGATCTGTGGTGTCTCCACAAACCAGTTTCTTCTAAGGAGAGGCATATTTAATCAGGACTGAAAACGTTAAAACTTTCATGGTTCCTGTACTGGTGTAATTTGATATGGGACATCGAGTCCAGCAATCTGAATGTGAATTATTAATTCAACACAGCGTTATCCAGGAAATTATTGAGGAAATAAGCTCTCAGACTGTGCTGTGTTAATGAATATTTCTTTTTATTTGTTCTATTAGTTTAAGCCTACTGTTCTCCAATTGTTATATTAAGAAAGAGAATAAAAAGGATGGCTTCTTCAAAAAGTTCAGCTATTTTAGTTAAATTTCCTTTATTTTTCTCCTTCCTATACTAAAAAATTCTTGGTTTTTGGAGGCTTGGGGACACATTTCAGAGCCCTTTTTTCACTCAATTGTAAACTCTGTTGTATCAATTGTAAACCTATTTGTACTGCTGTCTTTGTTACTAGGACAGGATCAACTTTATTCAGTAGCCTTTTCTGGCCTATAAAAAAATATTTTATTTCTCCTCAGGTGAAATGGTCAGAATTGAGCACAAAGAACTTGGAATTACAGTGCATGCTTGGTAGAATCTATCATAGTAAAGATAGTCTGAGAGACTATTATTTACAACAATCTCATCATCACAGTCTCACAAGAATATTAAACATGAGCTTCATTACTGAATTCTGTCTGAAGGCAACAGTTGCTTTCAGAACATTGAACAAAATCAGCTGATCAGCTGTTTCTGAATTTGAATGTATACTCTCCATTTTAACTTGCTCTATAGAAATCTAAATCACTCTGAAGGCCACATTTGTTTTCCCTTAAAAACATAATACAGCAAAGTTAAAATTGCACTATTGCAAAAAAGAATATATATATTGCAAAAAAAGAAAAAAAAATCATAACAGTTTCCTCCCAAAATATCCACACAGGCTTTAAAAATGACATCTGCTCAGTTTCAAAATACATTTTTTGTGAAAAAATGCACTCTGTCACAGATAAACGTAAAAGGTTTTATTGCTTTTATGAAGTCTCAAAACCTCATCTAGCACGCTAACCATGTCGGACTTGTTGAGTTTCATACAGCTGAATTAGTTTCAGAATCCATGGTGGATGATGAATAAGTCCTGCTTTCTCTGCCTGTGTCTGAATGGCTGACAGCAGTTCAGGATAGCCAGGTTTATCCAGAGTAATTCCAGGGAATAGGTCATTAATGAGACTCATAAATAAAGGTTCATCTTCATCCACCTGTCATTAAAAAAAAATAGGGGGAAAACACATTCATTGAAATTATTATCAGAACTGTAAAAAATCTTCAAGAATATGCCATTTAAAGATGGCAGTAGAAAACTATCATTTCAAAGCAAATGCAGTAATTATGAGTCAAGTGATTGATTTTATTAATGGAATTTCAAAGAATGTAATCACAAGGAGTAATTTGTTATACAAGTCAGCAAGATTTATTTAAATCTTATTTTTCCTTGGAATTTTAATGATTTTTTTTTCCTTCTATAAATCATTAAAGCATGGTTATAAGCTAGAAAGCATGCACAAACAGGCTGAATAGATTAGCATCTGAAACTTAATAAATTGCTTCCATCACAAAGCTGGCTCCCAATGTACATATATGGACTCTAGATAAGCTGTAACCTTTTAATTACAGCAGTAGAAAGAAAGATGAATGCTTTAAATAATAATATTGAAAGAGATTAGACTATACAAGTATGCATTAGCTGCCTTAAATCAGCTCATTAATTGAAATTCTATGTTCTCAAGAGGCAAAACTGCCAAGAAACGTGTAAGTTGAAAACATGGAGTAAGAAGGATCTTAAATGACACTAATACAAGGTATTCTCCTTTTCTCTTTTTAGATGGGATAGAAAGAAGAAAAAACAAAAGGCAGCTAGAGGACCAGGTTAGATTTTCCTCTAGGATCTGATGGATTCTTCAGTTGAGGTCTCTGACGTGTTTTTCTCTCCTTAAAAAACAAATATAGAGCTCACACCATAACTGTACTATGATACTCACTGGAAAACCATATGAAAAATTGCCAAATAACGTAACCTATTGCTGAAGAAAAAGAGCTTTTCAAAGTGCATTACAAATACACTTAAAAATGCAAAAGAAGTATTCCTTCTCTGAAAGTCATCAGTTACAATACCAGTTTGGAGAGGTTCATGTCCCGCAGAACTCTCATCACCACTGTTTTCTCTGGCTCTTTAGGATTAGATCTTTTCACTGTTCCAAGTGTTCTTAAAACAGACAGGATATTTCTTAGCCCAAAGTCATAGTGAACCTTGAAACAATGCATAAAAACAATTGGTACTACAAAGATTAACCACTTCAAAATCAAGTGAAGGCTGAAAACCAAATTAATTAAAGAAATAACTAGGCTACTGAACTTTTAAATGTGATGAATTTCACAGCTCTTCATCCTTTCAACTGGAGTTCCAGTTCTGTTGTTCTCTGATCCTGAAAATATTTTCCAGTGTTGTATGTCCATATTTGTCAAGTCTCACATTTGGTTATAGACTACCACTTTTAAAGTCATCTGCAACAGAGCTACTTCTTCTATCATTTTGTTAAATTCATGTTTTGCCAGATGTGGTGGCACATACAGCAAACCACTCATCTTCAGACTACCCTCTGTTTCCTGTCTGCACAAGTACAGTTGTTATATTGATACATGGTATTGAGAGCCATGATTAAAAGGGCCAGTCTCTCGCTGATTTGAAGAACCATGCTGAAATTATACAGATGACAACACTTTGTTATATGTAAGCCTAGACTATCCTGTACTTAGCGGACATTACATACCAACTTCATTCATTTACAGCAATGTGCATCCTAGACATGAATCTACCCAGCTATGGGTTTTTGGCAGGGAACGGCTAGAATCTGAATAGCCCCCCCTTTCCCTCCAGGCAGAGCTTCCTTTTTGCAGAGCCATACAGTCATATTCAATTAATTTTAGTGCTTTTACCTACACATACAATTCTGCCTTCAGTTAACACAGATTCAAAAATACAAGTAAATTTTCTATAACGTGTATTCTCTTCCTCTGTGACTTTTGATGCAAATCCTAGAAAGAGAACTATCAAGGAAAAAGTTTTACATTATAAAGTGTCCACTACTCCTGGCTGCTGGGAAAGCCTAAGTAATAAAGATATACAAGGAAGGAAATAATAAAGAGATTCAAATATTAGGATAGTATCTACTTCCTCTCTCCCTCAGATTGATCCGAAATGTTTTTTGAGACTCAGTGCATAGATATTTCTTATGCTATCTCACAAAACATTTTCACAAACAAGCTATCACATAATCTACATAAAACTATTTCTAATGATGGATACACAACTGGTATCACTGAAACTAGAAAGATATATTGAGCACTAGTCAAAATTTTCAGTAATAAATAACATATTGGTTAGGCTTGCAGATGATATCACACCAGTGAAAGGGAGAACACAACTAGACTTCAAAATGACAGAGAGAAATTCAATGAAGAATCTATGTAAAATGCATGTAATAAAGACAAGTGCCAAACACTATACATAGATGGAAATAATTGACTGCACAAAAAAAGGCAGGGAACAACTAGTTGACAAACAAGTGAGCTGCAGAAAAATATGCAGTACTGCACTGGAACCACAACTCAAATTAACTCTCCAATGACAAATAACTACAATTGCACTGGGCAGTATAAATAGGACTGTCTTTTTTAGAACAGTTGAAAAGATCCTTCCACTGCAGTTGGCACTTCTGTGCTGTGCCCAGCAGTTGAATAAAGATAAAGATAAACCCTACTGAAGAGAATCTAGAAAAGGGAAATAAAAGTGACTGGCTAACCAGAAAATGTGATATATCAGGAAAAAGTAAAACAAAGTCTGCTGAGAGCAAAGAAGACTGAATATATAGGATAAGTTACAAGTTATGATAAAAGTTTTCAAACAAAACAGCTGCTCTAAACAGGAAGGCAGAGTGAATAGAAAGGAAAAGTACTAATGGACTTAACTACTGGAAGGAAGATTCAGAATAGACTTTAGAGAAAACTTTGTGACCCTGAGGAAAATGAAATTTTGGAACAGAATGCCTGGGGAAGCTGCAGGATATATGTCAATAGAAAATTTTAAGGAGAGTCACATATATTAGTAGCAAATGATTTAGTTATGATTGATTTTTCCTCTAGACAGGTAAATGGACAACCTTTGAAGGTTCCTTCTAGTCTCATTTTCTACGATTTCAGCAGGTGCCAAGTTAACACTTGACATAGTCAGATATGAATGTTCAGCCAGATACTGGCAAAAACACTCATTTGCAGATGGCAACATTAAGACAAAAAGATTAATAACTTCTCGTGAATTTTGGAAGGAAGATTACATCTCGATGATGAAGGCTGCTATCATTTTGTAGATTTGTAGCAGATTTTGTCATGTATCACATGAACAAATCATTTTCATTTGTTCTAGTGAAGAGTCTAGAATCATGACAAGGGCTGATATTTCTGTTACTCTCTATGCTAGGTGACCACCACTGACCTACTGGAGTGAGTCCAGCAGATGACCACCAAGTGATGGGACAAAGGCAATGGTCAAAATTTGCAACAGGGGAAATTGCAGTCGGACATAAGTAAAAAATTCTTCACTATGGTCAAACACAGGAAAAGATGCCCAGAGAGGCTGTGGAATCTCCATCATTGGAGATATTCAAAATTCAACAAGGACAAGTTCCTTAGCAACCTACCCTTAATAGACCAGTGCTAAGCTGAAAGTTGGACAAGACGACTTCTGTAACTCCCTTCCAACCTACATAAGTCTATGATTCTATAGAAATGACAATTTCTACAGATAATCATTTGAAGAAATACTGTCATACTCATTAGAAAATTTAAAATAAATAAAAAAGAGCTTAAAGCCAGGTTTTCTGGTGCATTCCAAATGATCTGCATGACTGGTCGTTCAAAGCTGACACCATTTATTCACCCTAACCAGTCTTTTAGTTTTTCAACTGCTTGCACTTCAGGAATGGCTAAAACAGAACAGCTAGAACCTACTAGCAAACCTGGACCATGGCCTGCCTGCCTCTCTACTGCAGTAGGCAATATATTGCACTTGGGGAAAATAGACTGCACAGTGGCATAACTGATGCTCTTGTAAGGAAGAGTAAAAAAATCCACAAATAAAAGTCTCAACAGTAGGAGCACACTTTACTGACGTAGGGAA